GCAGTGGAACGGGGAGCCCCCCACCAGGAAATCGGTTCCGGTTCCGTGTTCGCGTCGTGCGCGCGGGCGTGGCGAAGCTGCGTGGGCGCGCGACTGAAATGAGATGCCGCCATGGCTAGGGGCCGTGGAGCCGTTTGACCGCGCCGCCCTTGGGCGCGCGGTGGCCTGGGGTGCCCCGCCGGTGGTGCGGGGATGCCCCGCCGGTGGTGCGGGGGTGTTCCGCCGGTGGTGCGGGGGTGCCACGTCGGTGGTGCGGGGGTGCCGCGTCGGTGGCAGGGGGGGGCCCGTCGGTGGCGCGATAGCGGGATCGGTAGGATGCGAGGTCAATAATGTTATCGATTGTGAGATCTGTGGTGGAATCGATGTGTGAGATCGATCGCACCACAGATGTCGCTGCCTCGACGCCATCAAAGTCATCGGAGTTGTCTTCGGTTGGTGTTTCCTCCCCCCCGAACCTCCTTCTTACCCGAAGGGTGGTCGAATCGTGCGTGTTGTAGATTACAAGGATTTCTCGGGCCCTGGTCCTCTCACCTTCCCCCGCTTTCCTATCGGTCGGTGGGGGGGCGGGGGCGGTGCGAAGTGAGGTGGGGCCGTCCTAAAGATAACGTGTTATTGTTTGTGTTTTCCGCTCGAGTTTTTTGGTTCGAGCATGCTCGCAGGGATTCCTGCAACCGAGCCCGAGGTTTTCTTCATCGGCTCTCCGCGCGGCAGCGCCTCCGGCCATTCTAGCTGCTCGACGGGCTCCTCGTGGGAGCTAATCGAGTGCGGCTTCTACTGCGAGGGCTGGGCGTTCGACCCGAGGGGCTGCGCGCCCGAGGGCGCCTGCGGGACGGCGTGTCTCGGTTGCGGTTTGCTCGGGCTGCTGCTTTGGTCGCTCTTCGCCCTGGTGAACGACCCGATCGTGGATCAGGAGGGAGAGGCGGAGCTGGACGTGATCGAGGCTCAGATGCCAGTGGAGCCATGGTCGCGCAGGTTTTCTCGCCAGACGGCGACCGACGGCATCGAGGTGCAGCTGGTGAGATGGAAAAGCGGGAACATTTGGTGGTCCTCACCCCCGACCTGGGGCTGATTTGCATCACCGCGAAGGTTTCCATTTTTGTGGACCCAGTGGCGGGGATTCGTTTGAGGCCACTGCCACCGTTGAATGCGGCCCACCGCGACGCTTACCTCAAGCAGGCGACGGATGGGGTGCGTGCGGGGACGGTCCCCTTTTTTGTCGCTCTATCGTCCGGGTCGCGCGGGCCAGCAGGCGATCGCGGTGAACGTGCTGCACGCTTTGTTCAGTTCGGGGGCGTCTTCTCTCAAGACTTTGATGGCGATTATTAGGTGTGCTGGCCGCCTTGTTCGCGTTGTACGAGGCACTGGCCTTGCTCGGGATGAACGAGTACATGAAGGAGGTGTGGGCGGCTCTCGTGAGTTACCTGGCTTCGGCGAAGGATGCCTTCGTGGAGAGTTCGGACGTCGTGCAGGAGTGGGTGAGCTACCTCTTCGAGTGGAAGGAGTGGGTTCAGAACTTGATGCCCGTGCAGCGATGGCTGGCCATGATCGTCGCGATGGCGCTCCTCACGGGCTGGGCTGCGCACTAGTGGTCCGACCACGCGGAGCCTGGAGAGTCCTCGATCGGATCATCGTCGGCCTCGAGTGAATACGTGGCCGTCGGTCACGCTTCACCCAGGCCACCGCCCTAGCCGTCACCCTCGCAGCCGTCTGCTGTGGACGCAGCCTTGGTCGCCCAGCTGAGCGACCTCGCAGAGTGGAGATGAGGGCGGCGGAGCGGACCCGGGAGCTGCGTCGAGACGCGTTGGAGTCGCCCCTCGAGTCGCGGGATCGCGCCGCCGAGGAGGCCAAGCGCCAGGTGATCGAGTGCATGATTGTTCGCCTGGACAAGTTCGAGGCCCGCTTGAAGGGGGAAGCTCCAGGCGAGGGGAGTGTCGGAGATCGGACAGCTGCTATCGAGGGCTCACGTGCTGCGTCGCCGGGCGGTGCGACAGTGGGCTCGCCGACCAAGACTTCCGGGCCGATCTCGATGGAGGCGCTGGGCCGGAGAAGAGAGCAGCGCCCAGCACCCCGGAGGCGGTGAAGCTGGCCATCAAGCAGTTGCGGTTCATGGCCCAGCTGCCGCAGCAGGTGTTCATGGAGCAGCGAGGGGGCTATCAAGAAGTCCCCACCGAGGAGTGGAACAGCCGGATTCCCGAGGGATATCGTCAGCGGATCTCCGCAAAGGCGTTGTCGGAGATCTACTCATCGGGGTAGACGGCGGAGGCGTGGGCTCGAGACTTCGCGCGGGATTGACAGAGTGCAACGTGGCTCGGGAGATGATTGCGGCATTCGCGGCGGTGGGCGCGATGTTGATGACGGACTGTCAGAAGGGGCTGCTCAACCTGGCGAGCTTTGAGCAGCTGGCGCGCAAGGGGGTCGCCATCGCGCGAGCGCGCCGCAGCGCGTCGGGCCGCGGCGACTGGGGCCGCCCCGAGGGCTGGAAGTCGAAGGCGGACTGGGAGGCGGCTCGGCGGCCGGACCCTCAGCCAGTGGACGAGAGCACGAATCGGGCGATGAGTGCCGAGGAGGAGCTGAAGAAGGCATCGGCCCAGGACGCGCAGCTGCTGGAGGCGCGGGCCGACCTGGGCCGGGGCTCGGCAGCCCCGCCGCGACGGCCGAGGAGCTTCAATTGGGGTAATTTCGCGTTGGCTGGCCCTTGCTGCTGGCGGGGTGATCGAGCACAGCGCCGGCGTCTTTTGTTGCCTCTATGTTTTCTGCTGCAGCAGACGGGCGCCATCTTCGTCGGTTGCCGCGCTGGCCGGTGCGCGACGAATTTGGTGTTCGATGTCTCGGCGGCGCGACGTCGCGTCCGATGTGGCGCGGCTCTCGCGCCCAGAGCGCCCGAGCTCGACGTCTCGTCGGGCCCTGTCGCGATCGAAGGGGGAGGTCGAGGCGACCCTTGGGCCGGCCAGCCGCTCTCTCTTGGCGCTGCATCAACTCTACCGCGGGAGCTTGGACGACAGCCCTTTGGAGCTGGCCGAGCGCTGGGGGCGGGGGGCGATGCCCGACAACCTGGGCGGGGACCTCTCTCGGCAGGCGCTGGGGAGATTCGTCGCCGGCAGCCGCCGTCGACGACGCCCGGCCAGGGAGCCGCGATATTGCGGCTGCGCCCTGCCGCCTTGGCGGCGGGCAGTCAGTCCCAGTCGACCTTTAAGCAGAAGTTGGCCGAACTTCGGAGGGGAAGCGCTGGCGGGGGCGCGCGGCTGCCAGACAGGGGCGAGACGTTCCCCGCCCAGTGGGATCGGGTCGCTCTACACATCCCAGGGGCCAGACCTGCGAGCGCGAGGTCCGCGTCGCCTCGCGCGGCACAGAAGTTGGAGAAGCTTCGGGAGGAGATGCTGAAGGGGGATGGCGACGCCCGCGCGCTGGCGTGCGAGGTGCGCATCTACGTGGACCAAGAAGGAGATGCTGCAGACATCGCGAAGGATGGCCCTTGCGGGCACGCTGCGTCGCACACGCGAGAAGGCGGGCGAGGTCGGGCTGTTCTGCGCGGCGAAGATGGCTGAGCTGGTCAACGGAGAGCCGGAGGTGACGCTCCGCCTGGCGTTCGACCAGAGGCGCTCCAACACGCGGTGGCGGGCTCCACCGCGTCCCGCCATTAGCGGCCCGAGTGCGGTGTCCTTCTTGGATTTGCCGGAGGAGATGCAGGAGAACGCGGGGTGGCCATGCGCCTTGGTACGGGCGACCTGCCCGACATCTACTACGCGCTGGAGCTGGGAGAGGAGACCGCCCCCTACTTCGCGCTGCCGGGGCGCGGGCCTGCCCGATCTCGCGGTTGACTGGGAGCGGCGCCTGCGTCGGGGTGAAGGCGGCCCCCGCGGGATGCTCGCGGGCGTGCTGGAGGGCACAGACGACGACGGAGGGCGTCTTCAACGCGGGGCCGCAGGCTGGGCTGCTGTCGCCGCCGGAGGCTCAGCGTCTCGCCGAGGGCGGCCCTCTGCCCCAGCTCGGCCGGGAAGAGCCAGTGGCTCACTACGAGTACATCGGAGTACATCGACGACTTCGGCATCATCGGGCTGCACTGCCCTGCGCTGCTGGACCTGAGGGGGGGGTGCGACGGTGGAGGAGACCTGGCCGGGGGCCAAGGACCTGGCGATGGCTGCGGGCATGCTCCTCGACAGCTCGCATGATCGGGGGCGACTTCGAGGGTGCCCTGTTGCCCCCGAACCAGAACAAGATGTGGCTTGCGGTCCTAGGCATCCAGATCCCGACCAGCAAGTGGGATCTGCCCGACGCGATCGCGCGGATCGTGGGCATCATGTCCTGGGGGTTCTTGATCTGCCGAGGGGCGCTGAGCATTTTTCCGGAGGTCTTTTCGCGGCGCGTGGAGTTTCGCGGTGGGCCCAGGCGCGAGGCGCCGCGGGAGGTGCTGAGAGTGTTGGCGGCCGCTGCGGCTGTCGCCCCTGTGATCGCGGTCGACCTGGCGATGCCCTGGGACCCCGCCACGACCATGTTCGATACCAGTCTATGCGGAGGGGCCATCATTGCCACCTCGTGCACGGCGGAGTCAGCAGCGTCGAGAAGCTCTGCGCGCGGTGCGAGGAGGCTGGGCGATGCGGAGGCGCCAGACTGGATGGGTATGTCGGCCTTTCGGCTCTCCTCCGTGCTCGGTGCTTCTCCCTTCCTCTTTTCTTATTCCTCCTCCTCCTCCTCCTCCTCCTCCTCCTTCTTACGCCTCTTCAGTATCCTCAACGCCCTCCTGGTCCGCTCTGGAGAACAGAGACCAACTTGTTGATTTTTCTCGCAGGGGAGCCCCGCCCCGTGGCAACGTGAACATGCGGTGGGAAGTACTATGCGTTATGCTCAAGTGTAGCTGCGCGTGCTCTAGCGCCCCGCGCGCGTCGGAAGCGGCACTGCGTGGCTTCTCTATACAGTAACTGAGCATGGTCTCGCGCCTTGCATGCTCCCCGAAACGCGCGCGCCCCGCAGCCCTCGACATCGGGCCCTACACGAGCCCTCGCCTACTTCGAGCACAAAGCAGCGAAGAGGTCGGCCCCGTGTCGCCTGGCGCGCCACGCCCACGCGTGGACGTACTCGGCGATGCGGTCGTGGTCGGCGCTCTTGATCGAGGACGGGAGCGCCGTCTTGACCTCGTCCCAGCTGCCGTCCGCCGCCTCCGTGCCGTGCTTGAGCTTGACCACGCGGACGTTGCCGTCCTTGTCCTGCACGCGCGCGGCCTTCACGACCGCCCACTCCTCCTTCTTGTGGCTCACCACGCCGTGCGACAAGGCCGGCCTGCGGTATTGGGCGCGGAAGCGGCCCCGCCCGTGCCTTTGCCGCGACCCCAGGCATTGCTTGGCGGGCCCCGCAGCCTTCGCGCGCTCGAGGCAATCCCTGCGGTCGCAGCAGGGCGAACATATCAAGTCGCCAGCAGCGAAGGCGTCGTAGCAGTCGGCGCCGTCTATCAGGGCGATCGCACCGCGGCCGAGGTGCTTCTTGACGGCCTCGTCGCACTGGGCCCCGCCCAGGGGCACGCCGCCGCCGCCCGCCATGCTCGCCTCCCAGGGGCTGGATGAGAAAAACGTTGGCCCTGTTGCCGCGCTCGACCATGATGAGCCAACGGTTCCAGCGCAAGCGGTAGCCAGGGCATTCAGGCTTGCACTTACCGCATGGCTTCTCGCAGCTGGCCCTCTCGGCCTTGGTGCCGCACTCGCCGAGCTCCACGGGCATGCCGTCCTTGAACTCGATGCGAGCCTGCTCCTCAAGGCTGAGCTGAGCCATGCGGCGGCGGACCTCGCCCAAGTGCAACGCCATGGAAGCCTTCGAGATACCTTGCACCACGGTGCAATCTCCGCGGCTCGGGTGGCGCGCAGCCCACGGCGCGCAAGCCGAATGGACAGCGAGTAGCCCTTCTCCCGCGGGTGCTCCCCCGTTACCCCCCCGAGAGATCGGCGCGCCCTCCTCGCTCTGGACCGCGACGCCCACCTTCATGACAGCGCACGTCCGATCGCCGCAGCGATGCCTGCACAAAGTCGGGACGTTCACCTGGGGGGATACAACGCGCACAATTATTCCTGGCCTTTCCAACCAGAAAGAATCGAGGTGAATTGGTATTGCGCTATCCCGCGGGCGCCTCCACGTTGCCCACGCCCATGGTGATCCCAGGAGACCGCCCCCCTGCGCTCGCCTGGAGGGACAACTTAGTGCCGCATTCGCGCGGGCACTTCTTGCCCTCCATCCGCGGCATGTACCCGAGCTCCACGCCAATCCGAACCCTGTTCACCACGTCAATGCCGCAGAGCCCTCTGAAGTCAATGCTTTCCCCCTTGGCCTTGCAGGCGAGAGGCGCCGTCTCCCCTTTCCCAGCGTTCTCCCCATTGCACTGGGGGCCTGGCAACTCCTTCGCCCTAGCCTTACCGAGCTTCGCCTTGGCTCCAGCCCCCAGCATCTTGCCGGACGAAGCGCAGGCGGAGATCTGCACGTGCTTCTTGAATTGGGCTTCCCCTTTGGGCGCTGGGCGCATCGGGGGCGGGCGTTTCTCCGGCTTGGCGACGGTCTTCATGGCGGCCTTCGGGGCGGGCTTCACGACGGTCATCCTGGCGGACTTCATCGCCGACTTCGCCATGTGCCCTGGCGCTTGGCCACCGAGATGCGCCCGACGACCTTGAGCCATTCAATTCTACAATGCAAGAAGAAGTAGGCATGCGCTGCGATGGTGTCGATACCGCGGCAATGAATGCAATCCCCTTGGAGCCCCGCGCATTAGCTTTCTGGGCTGCTTTTTCTGGCTAGCGGCGGGCCGCGGAGGCAAGGGCGCATGTGTGCTCGGCTACCAACCGCATCTAGACTGCCACGACGGCGACGACGACGGCGGCGACGATGGCGACCATCACGACGGCGACGATGACGGCGGCGGCGACGATGGCAACGATGACGGCGACGAAACTTCTTGTGGGGCGACGACGACGCAATTCTTTTCTCATATCGCGTATGTAAAGCAGAAGCTGCACTGCCCATGTCAATCTGCCATGGCGCCGCCCTGGCCCGCGGCGCCACACGTTTCATCGCATCGCATATAGAAAGAAGAGGCTGCACCGCTCGCACTCTGGCACTCTACTCGCCCAGCATGTCAGTCCGCCATGCCGCCGCCCTGGCTCGCGGCGTCCGCTGCCGCCTGCTCGCGAGCCTCCTTCGCCTGCTGGTTGTCGATTGCGTCCTGCTCGTCGAGGTAGCGCGTGAGCCCGTTCTCCAGCACGTCGTCGTAGCCCGCCGTGGCAGGGCGCTGGCGTGGTGGAGTAGTGAGGTCAATCTGTGCGCCAGCGTCCCTCATGTTCTTGTTGAAGTAGTCCAGCTGGATCGCCTCGTGGATCGCCTTCTGCTCCTCGATGTCCAACTCACTGAGGTCGCCACCGCACCCCGTGGAAGCCTTGGGGCCCGTCGCCAGGCGCTTGCGGGGAGGCGAGCTGAGGTCCATCAGCATGTCGTTGTCCTTCATGTTCATCTCCCAGAACCCCTTCTGCATGGACTCGTAAATCGCCTGCTGCTCGTCCTTGTCGACGTTGTCGAGCAGGCCCGCGCGCCCCCTGCCAGCGACGGCAACTGCTGCTGGGGGTGCGCGTGAGGAAGATGCAACGGCGCTCATCAAGCGAGCGCCCCGCTCATCGCAACCCCTGGCTCTCGAGGGCGGCTCAGGCGCTGCGGGGAACACGGGCGCGATGCTGACAGTCGGCGCGAGCGGCACATCTTGGGGCGAGAAAGCGCAACGACACCACCGCACCTACGGCGCCAGGAGCCGCAGCAGAGACCTGGAAACTTGGCTCGGCGTTTCCCCTGGTATACGCCACGGCACCCCCCATGGAACGAAACCGAGAATAGCGCGCCGTAGCGGGGTGGTGTCGTTTGTTTTGCCGTCGGGCCTTAGTTCAGCAGCAAACGCTTCAAGTTCTTCATCGACCACTTGACGTCGTCTTCGAAGTACGCAGAGTAGACTGGCTTAGTGGGGTCCTGCTTGTATGCGCCGAAGGCCTCCTTGCAGCCCTGGTTGAAAAGGTCGGGCTTGTTGGGGTTGGTGTAGGTCCACCACGGCACTCGGCCCCGTCCGTCGCTGGCGTGGCGGAAGTACACCAGCTTGTCAGCGACCAAAACAAAATGAGTGCGAGCACCGATGGCAGGCAAGTCCTCGTCCTCCTTTACCTGGCGGCGCGAGGGCCTGATCAACCTCATGAAGTCGTTACTGTTCACGCCTTTCGGAGTACCCTCCGCCCACTTGGACACGAGCTCCGCCTCGAAGTCTTTGTCGTAAGCATGATTGCACACCTGGCGGGAGGACCCAGTGTCAAATTCCGACGACCCCCACGGGGCCCAGAGCGTCGCGCCCTCTTCGCTCGGATTCAGAAACGCTTTGAGGATTGACGCTGACTGCCCCATGATTCGCCATCGTCGAAGATTGCTGGCCTGATGCGGGTTACAGGCTCACCTTTGAAGAAATCGAAGTGTTTGGCGGTCCCGGCGGTCGGAAGAAGGTCGCCCTTCGCGACTTCCCCAGACTGTTCCAACGCCTCGATCTCCACGCGGCTCATCATGAAAGACACAGTCGTCGACCCCGCGCTCTTCCCGACTCGCGTCTTGCCTAGCCACGCAACGCCGAACCTCCTGAGGGTGGACGCCAAGATGGGCCTGATGACGCCGTTGGGGAACCAGGGGTCGAAGTCTCGGAGCGCCAAGACCCAAATCGTGAGACCCTCTGCATTCGCCCTGCCCCTGGCATAGTTGTCCAAAGCCCTTTCGAGTCGGCTTTCCTCCCAGCCAAAGGTCGAACTGTCTGGGTGGGCGTTCTCCCGATCTGCGACCTCCATGAATTGGTTCGCATTGTTGCTCCGTGGCCCCTTCTCTCGAATGAACCTGCACCCTGCGGCCTTGAGTTCCCGCTCGGCCGTCTTCCTGGACGGCCCCTTGCCAGGCTTCGCGACAACGGTGTGGTACCGCAGCTGGCAGCCTTCCAACTTCTCGAGCATGTGCTGGACAGCCAGGCGGCCAATCCGATACTGGTTGCCATAACGCCAGATTAAGTCAGTGCCACGAGACATCTGCATGCACGTTTCTGCCCTAGTCGTCACCGACAAGGGGCTCACGTCCTTGAGGATGTCGTGCTTGCCGTCGGGCTTCTTGGTGATGAACAGCTGCATGGAGTACTGACCAGCGGGCTCCCTCTTCAGAGAGAATTGTTCTGGCATGCTCTTGTAGCCGCAGGTCTTCGCAAGGCCGCGAAGCGTTTGCCAGGGGATGTCGCCGCCGAAGCCCCCCACGTAGTCCGCGAAGTATTCGATCATCCTCCCACGCTCCGTCGCGAACTCCGCTGGCAGATCGGCGATGTTGCACTGGCCTGCTGTGTCTATATTGTCGGCCTTGATGAGCGGGTTGTCGCTCATCTTCATGTTCTCAGCATGCTGCAAGGCCTCCCCAAACGTAAGCCCAGGAGCGTAGTCAGCAACGCCAAGCGACTCGCCCAAGCTTGCTGGAAGCACAACCGCAGCGCTGATTGCTGCCATGGTGACGTAGCAGGAAGCTGAGGGGGCAGGCGATCTCTTCGATCGCAAAGGCTTGAGAGGCAACTGGATGTTGCCATGACAAGTTTTCCCCCTCTGCAACAGGGGGGGGCATCCCTTGTTGCGGATGCCCTCTGGGGCACGCGTAGTAAGCCATCTGCTGAGTTACACCGTCTGGCACGCGACCGAGACAAGCAAGACATGTCATTGCCAAGCATAGCATAGCGCTGATAGCATAGGAAAACGTTGCTTCCTCTTCGTGAGCCCTGTGATGGGTGCCTTGGTGGGCCCTGTCGCCCCCCCCCCCCCCCCCCCCCGCCCCTCCAAGCTTGCTCGAAGCACAACCGCAGGAGTGATTGCTGCCCTGGCGACGTAGCAGGAGGCCGAGGTGGCAAACGGTCTCTTCGAGCGCACGGGCTTGAGAGGCAACTGGGTGTGGCCATTGCAAGCCCTCCTCCTTCGAAGCAGCGGGCATCCCTTTTTTCGGATGCCTTCTGGGGCACGCGTAGTAAGTCATTTGCTGGGTCACATATTCTGGCACGCGGCATAGACGAGCAAAGCGCGGCGTAGCCACGCATAGCATGGCATGGCGTAGCATTGCATTGCACAACATAGCATAACACAACATAGCTTTTCTCTTTCTGGGCCCCTCCCCTGCTCTCTCCTCCTCCTCCTCCTTTACCTGCTCCTCTCCCCCCCCCCCCCCCCCCCCCCCCGCCCCCCAATGTTCCAGCCGCGCGTCTTCCTCTCGTGAGGCTCGACCACCGCCTCGTGGGCGGCGGCCTTCTTCTCCGCGCGTTCGCGGGCGTTGTAGGCGGCGTTGCGCGCCTTCTTCTTCGCGTGGGCGGCCGTTCCTGGCTTGGGGTTCCCCATGCCAGAGGGGGTGGCGGGGCGGGGCGAAGGGCGCGGTGTCGGCGCGAGCGCGCCGCGAGCTGCTTGAGCCTCGGTCGAGGTGCGGCGTGCCTGCTCGCGTT